GTTATACTTTCCTTTTGGGTGTTTAAGACCACACAGTTGGCCCAAATAAATCAACTTATTTTTACACTTAAGGTCATTTGAGGATATCTGTTCCTCAGGGGTCACATGGGCTTGGGAGGAGCGCTTGGCTCCTTTCTTTTACCAGTTCCATCTAAGTGAAGATAAGTCAAAGGTCCTCCTCAACCATGTCTGGCTTAACTTGGAAGCATAAATGAGATATTTCCTCTGAGTTGACTCTCCTCTTTGTAGACTGGACACTGGTTCAGGTCCATCACGTGGGGTCTCCACGTCCTCCCTGAACAAGAGGACAGGTGACTCACCACAGTTACAGGACATTTTGAGAGATGTTCCATAGTCCCCTGGAACTTAGTCGACTTTGGAGGGTAATGGGCAAAAACTGTCCTTTAAGTCCCTCTGACCACATTAGTATAGGTCTCAAAATGTGGCTGTTATACATCCAATATGGCTAGTTCCACCAGTCTGGTACTTTTAATTATCATGTGCTATGTAGATTAGGCTTGGGTAAAATACCAAATATTCTCAGATAAACTTTGACTAGATATATATTTTGTTCCTTAAACTAGTTGACTAAACTATGACCATAGACATTTTAAGATTATGTGTATATTATTTTTCTCATTGTTTATGTATCATAACAAACTTAAACAGACCTTCATCACTTGCTTAGGCTTTCTCATTTTTTCTATCTATTTTTCTCATGCTTTATATATAACAAACCTACACAGACCTTCATCACTTGCTTAGGCTTTCTCATTTTTTCTATTTTTGGAAAATATCTCCATTCCCATATCCTTTTAACATCTTTTACATTCTCGTTTTCTTTTTTTTTAAATAATTATGAGACATGATAGCATTAACAAATTTTCCGTCTGTTGTGAGACCTCTTTTCCTGGGGATTCTAAGCAATACTTATTCCCTTTTAAGGATCTAGTGTCAAGTCAATGTTTGATTAAAGTTTTACTGGGGTAATCAATAAATTTATTGAGCTTACTTACCAGATAACTGAGGGGTTGCTAAGGTTTATGTATGACCTGAGAGTATGCACACTGTAAAGCCTTAACCCAGCATGGGTCATTCCTTCTCTTCCTAACCTTCCCCAAATTGTATACTTTAGCCCTCCTCAAATCCAGGAAGGTATGTGTGATTAGGGTCAAATTACATACAGTTGTCTGGGAAGAGTGGCTGGATACTCCGGTGAGGGTCCAATGACTCATTAGGTTGCTTCCATCTCTTAGCTATTGTGAAAAGAGCAGCAACAAACATGGTTGTACAAGTCTCTCTTCAATAGAATGAGTCCTTTGGGTATATGCCAAGGAGTGGTATGACTGGGTCACATGGTAGGTTCATTCTTAGTTTTTTAAAAAATATTTTATTTATTATTTTTATTTTATGGGTACAAGTGTATTGCCTGCACGTATGTGAGTGCGCCCATGTCATGCAATGCCACAGAGGACAGAAAAGGTCTTCAGATTCCCCTGGAACTGGAGTTAAGGATGGTTCGCAGCCGCCATGTGGGTGCTGGGAATTGAACCCGGGTCCTCTGCAAGAGCAGTCAGTGCTCTTAACCACTGAGCCATCTCTCCAGCCCCCATTCTTAGTTTTTTAAGAGTTCTCCACACTGTGTTCCATAGGGGTTGCATGAACCTGCAATCCCACCAGCAGTGAATGAGCATTCCCCTTTCTCTACATCCTTGCCAGCATTTGGTATCATTTGTTCTCTTGATCCTAGTCATTCTGATTGGGGTAAGGTGATACCTTGGGGTGGTTTTAATTTGCATTTTCCTAATTACTAACAGTGTTGAACGTTTTTTGAGATGTTTCTTAGCCATCTTTATTTCTTCCTTTGAGAACTCTCTGTTTTGATCTTTAGCCCATCTTTTGATTGGGTCATTTGGTTTCTCAATTCTTTGTTTTTTGAGTTCTTTATATATTCTGGATGTTAAAATGCCACTTTTCCCCATTCTGTGGGTTTTCTCTTCACTTTTTTAATTGTTTCTTTTGCTGTACAGAAGCTTTTCAGTTTAATGAGGTCCCACTTATTGATTGCCGACCTCAATTCCTGAGCAACTTCTGTCCGATTTAGAAAATCCTTTCCTACACCTATATCTTGTAAGTTACTGCCAATATTTTCTTCTAATAGTTTCAGGGTTTCCAGTTTCACATTGAGGTCTTTGATCCATTTGGAGTTGACTTTTGTGCAAAGTGAAAGGATCTAGTTTCATTCTTCTACAGGTGGAGATCCAGTTTTGCCATTTGTTGAAGAGGCTGTCTTTCCTCCATTGTGTGTTCTTGGCACCTTTGTCAACTATCAGTGACTGAAATTGTGTGTACTTGGGTTTGGATCTTTGATGATGTTCCATTGATCTATGTGTCTATTTTTGTGCCAGTACCATGCTGTTTTTATGACTATAGCTCTGTAGTATACTTTGAGATATGGTATAGTAATCCCCCCAGTGTTGCTCTTTGTGCTCAGTGTTGCTTTGGCTACCCAGGGTCTTTTTAAGGATTTTTTTTTCCTAATTCTGTAAAGTATGTCATGGGATTTTGATTGGGATTGCATTGAATCTATATATTGCTTTTGGTAGGATGGTCATTTTCACAGTATTAATTCTTCTAATCCATGAGCACGGGATGACCTTCCTGATGTCTTCCTCAATCTCTTTAACAATTTAAATTTTTCATTGTAGAGATCTTTCGGTGTCTTTGAACAGATTTATTCCAAATTTTTTAATTTTTTTGCAGCAATTGTGAATGGGAGCATTTCCCTGTATTCTTTCTTCAGTTGCTTGTTATGGGTATGTAGAAATGCTACTGATTTTTGTAGATTGACTTTATAACCTGCCACTATACTGGAAGTGTTGATCAGTGCTAGGAGTTTTCTGGTGGAACTTTTAGGATCTCTTAGGTATAGTATCATATCATCTGCAAAAAGTGATAGTTTGACTTCTTCTTTTCCAATTAGTACTCCTTTAACTTCCTTCTCCTGTCTTATTGCTCTAGCCAGAGTTTCAAGCACTATGTTGAAAAGGAATGGAGATAGTGGACATCCTTATCCGGTTCCTGATTTTAATGGGAATGTATCCAGTTTTTCTCCATTTAGAATGATGTTGGCTATGGGTTTGTG